TCGGTTCCTTTTGCATTATGTTGGTGTAAAATCATTAATAAGAGATACAATTGAAAGAATGAAGTAAATAATGTTTGAGTTAGCATTCGTTTCCAGTGCGGAGCAACACGAGTTGTTGACGTGGAAAAATCACAGTAAAATTGCTAGGGTAGTCATTTATCACGCAAGGGCTTTGGTCTAATATCGTTAGTTCTAATAAGAAACTCTTCGCAAAAAAACATAATCTTTGCCATTTATCCCGAGGCTTCTTCTCGTGTAGTATATCGAGGCGTGCAACACGAGTTTAGTATGTAGCAGTGGCCGCAAGAAAATTAACTAAAATCCCGTCGTTCTAGATTAATGCTCTGAAAAGATTATTTCACCAGCTAAATGTAACCCTAATATCTTATAGTCGTCGTTAGCAATGTCATAATCACACAACATAGTCTCAAAAATATAATACATAATAAGAAATAACTTCATGCACTCTATAAGAGTTACCTATAGAGCTGGGGATGCAACGTAGAGAAGTAAATATTAGGAAGGGAGTCAGGCAGGGATGCACACTGTCACCGCTACTTTTTAATCTATATACATCGAAGACGCCATCAACATCATTAAAGGCAGTACAACTGTAGGGATAGACGTGCAAGGGCAAAAGATTAGTATGCTTAGATTTAAAGATGATATAGCAGTATTAGCATATAGCAAGGAGTTAGAGATAGCTTTCTAAAATACTGATATGCAAGGGAAGAAAAAGTCGGGAAAGAGCGAATATAAAGATAGGAGACGAAAAATTAGAAGAAGTGGCTGATTTTAGATACCTAGGAAGTCAGATAAGTCAGGATGGAAGGAGTAGTAGGGATATAAAACAGAGGATAGCGCAGGGTCGTGTCGCCTTTAATAAAAAGAAGTCACTTCTATGCTCGCGAACGGTTAATTTGGAAATTCGAAAAAGGTTGTTAAAGGTGTATGTTTGGAGCACGACATTGTACGGGTGCGAAACATGGACAGTGGGAGCGGCGGAAAAGAAAAGGTTAGAAGCGTTCGAAATGTGGTGTTATAGGCGGATGATGAGGATATCGTGGGTAGAAAAGGTTAGAAATGAGGAGGTATTGGAAAGAATAGGAGAACAGAGGACTCTATGGAAGTCAATAAAAAATAGGCGAGATAGGTTGGTAGGACACCTTGTCAGGCATGAAGGTCTAGTCAGAGACATATTAGAGGCAGAAACAGGAGTTAGGAGGGGTAGAGGTAGACCTAGATTAGATTACTCTTCGCAAATAATTAAGGATGTGGGCGGTTCTAGTTTTAGGAAAATGCGAAGTTTAGCTCAGGATAGGAAAGAGTGGAGGTACGTGTCCAACCAGTCTAAGGACTGATGACCTTATGATGATGATGATGACTATATAAGACCACAAAACGCATAAAATTCTTCAGATAAGTACTATCTATTGTAAAAACTTCACGTAATCAGTTTTGAACAGAATACTTACTTGTCTTTTTAGTTTTAACTGCGGAAATGTCCGGGAAACACCTAAGTAAGATCTTATGAAACTTTTCACAATCAGTTGGTAATTTTGTTGTCAGCCGGTTTGAGAGATGCCATTACGATGCTTATGTACGTACGTATAAATATTGAACAGAAAAGCATAATAAATGTAACCAGGCTTAGTAAGGTTCTTAACAACAGATGTGAACCTCCACAAGACAGCTTGAAAGTGACAAGAAGAAGCAAGCTTAACGTCAAACTTAACAAACTGAAACAAAACTTTTCCGTCTTTAGCAACAGACTAAGATGCCAACTAGGAGCAATGGAACGGAAAACTTTTTCAAAGAAAAAAATTTGTTTTTATTCATTCAACAAACCACCGCAGCAAACACAAATAAACAAATTAAAATGCAAATCAGAAAACCATTTCTCTATTCGTCGTTTCTTTCAGAATAAAGCTTTGAATTAATTCTTTACATAGAATCATTTTCAGAGACATTAGGGGCAGAAACGGGAGTTAGGAGGGGTAGAAGTAGACCCAGATTAGATTACTGTTCGCAAATAGTTAAGGATGTGGGTTGTTTTAGTTTTAAGGAAATGCGAAGATTAGCTTAGGATAGGAATGTGTGGAGGTGCGTGTCCAACCAGTCTTAGGACTGACGACCTTATGATGATGATGAAAGCTTTAGGAGAGTTATTATGTACTATTAGATGGATTTTTAGCTTTATTATCTTTCGTTTAACGAAAAATTTCGTACGTTTTTGTTACTTTTTATGTACCTCTTTCTGATTTTTGATCGTCGGCGTTACACCACTTGTAAACTGTTTCAAAATAATTGAGTGCTTGTGAAACGACAATATTAGTTAAATCAACTGCCTTTTCGAAGTACATTAGCGCGTGGTCTAGTGGAAAATTCTGTTTAAAGCAAATTTTGTTCTCATTTTTTTCAATGCACAAACCAAAGTAGTAAAAGTTAGAGAGAATATCGATGTATGTTTTAATGGTTATTTGGTTTACGTCTGCAATAACTGAATTTGACGTTCTGTAAGTAAGGAACTGCAACTCCGAGTTCGATTACGTCTGCTTCCGATATACTTTTAGAAGAAGCGAGTACATAACAAAATCGAAATAAATACAAACACTAATATAGAAATAATGTACATCAAACATTGTGTCTACAAATTTACTTGTGGGGACATTTTTAAAGTTATTAAAGTGGTTTGGGACATTGTGTTAGGAGTAAAGACTTAGAAAGTCATATGTCGACGAACTTTTGTGTATAGAATTAATTTAATTTGTGAGAGATTTGTGTTCTTAATAGGTATAAATATGGTTCTATCATGGTGGTAGTCGAAAACCTGCAAAAGTTTCTTGAGGAACGCATTTTATTCAAAACTTACTTAAAACTGAAGTTCGGGCATTTCCAGACAAAAGCTGCAGTGATTTATGTTCCAAGACAAATCCTTTTCGGAGATGTCAAGACTACTTCCACCAAGTCTCCAGGTGTTGTTTACCCCTCACTTGAACCCAACAATGAACTGCATTTTATTTCACTTTACGAGAAAATTTTATGAAAAACTTTTCATTTTTTTAAAAATTTGAATTTAATCCGTACACGGTCATATAAAAGTACCTTTAGAAGATTAACCATGACAGCAAGTATGTATTATAATTTTTTATTAGAGGAAAATTAGGTATTTGCATGTCACAATTTCTTTCCGCCCCTACTATATACCTGAACAATTTTAAGATCCACTTTTCTCTGCAATAAAATTTATGAGAGAGCTGCTAAGGGTGGGTGCTACTACATAAATTATTCGAATTATTTCTAATACCTAGCACGTTGTGTTAATCCAAACGATAAATAATGTCCTCTTGTACAAAAAGAATCTTCTTTCGCGTTGTATTTTAAGGATAATATCAACCGTAAGTATCTCTCGATGATATGCTAACAAAGATGCACAACTCATAATAAGTCAAGGATAACTACAAAGTTATGCCTAAGATATTAGGGTAAAGAGAAGGTGTGAATGTTTTCTGAATTTCTACCATTTTTTTGGACGGCGATCTACTTATTAGCAGGAAAATTGTAGATGTACGTACTCTTCCCGTTTATATATAGCGTTAACTAGAAATTTGTGATATGGGTGTAAGCTCTTGGTAGAAGTGAACAAATGAGAAAGTGCGAAATAGTAGGAATGGGAAGTGTTACTTGTGGATGCTTGTCGACACGTGTAGAGCAGCAAGGGCGAAAAGTGGTTGTTATAATCGTGTTAGAGAGATGGGATAAACTGTGCAGGTCTGGAAACCCACTCCATTCTTGCAACAACAAGACTCGCTCAATTTTTCTATTACCGAAAGTATAAGTAAACATTTAGTTGTGTGCATCGTGTTAGTAATGCAAACATTTTGACTCTTGAAACAGCTTATTTTCTGTTTGTCCTTGAAGCGAGTTACTTCCGTATCTTCTACCAATATTGAACTTCGAGATGGCACAACTTTCTTTCGTTCGTTTTTTTTACATTCCTTCCACTTCCTTCGCATGTATACCTTCGCGTTCTCATACTTATGTAATTCAAATTCAACACCATTAATAATTTCGTTTCGAAAATACCTAACCACGGAAGCAATGTAAACAAAAATTAAAGCCTTGTTATTTATTAAAACAACAATCATTAGTTCTTGTACTAAATCCAATTAAAAATAGCCTATACCGAAACGGATCTTAATTCTTTCACTTTACGTTTGAGTTTAGAATTTTTATCAAAGTCTGGTTATTTGGAGAACTATTTTCCATTTTCATATTTTCTAGCAAATTGACTTTTTGGTGTTGCACCGTCGAACATTTTTTGAAATAAGGGTTTAGTTTTCACTTGCTGATTCTGATAAAGAAATAAATTTTAGTCAGATGTGACAATACAGAATACAGCGATTAACTGATAACGTTACCGGTATGTAAACAGGGGTAATTAATTGATTATTCCTTGCCGCAGATAAGAACCCTAATAGAGACGATAGCTGCATGTATAATTGCCTTAATAAAGCCCTTCATTTACATATTCCAGTGGGGTTTGGAAATCAGACAACGGCACCTTTGTTCTTTTACCAAAATTGTGTAACTGCTAAACTGTTACTCAAGTTTAATATATTGTAAGGTAGATGAAAAACTTGCCAACAACTTATAGGAGTTATTTCAACTTTTTAAAAACTTACCTTTCCGATAAAATAAAATAATTCCAAGTGGTCTGTATTCTGTCCAAACTGCCAGACGCGGATCGCGATTTCGATCTGTTTGGATCTCATCAGCGCGTCGCAGGCAGCTCCGACAGAACACAGACCAACTTTTACCTGCTGTCTTAACAGTGCGTTTCAGAAAATACTACAAACGGCACAGTGAACGCCATCTGTAGCACGAATACGTAATCCTAAAATGTAGCATCGTGCTACAGATGGCGTTCACTGTGCCGTTTGTAGTATTTACCTTTCCGAGTTTGATACAAAAATTAACAATGTTTTCTTAATTTGTAGGTTCCGCATCAGGATTCGAGCCGGACTTTCTTTTTCCGCTAGAAAATGTGACAATTCCTCAGGGGAGAGACGCAACGTTTACCTGCATCGTCAACAATTTGGGTGGATACAGGGTGAGTGGGGAGTCCTCCACTGCTCGGGTGTGTACAATTTTCATTACTTGGAATGGAATTTAGGCACAACAGACTTCAGTAGTTTGACAGTTGCACTAATGGCCAACAGTCAGACTGCACTTTAAGTCTGTTCACATTCTCTGCACCGAGCACTTGCACTACTTGCACCTCTTGCACCTTCATTTGCACCGTTTATCAGCAAAGGGTAACAATGGTAAAGAGTAAGGGTTCATGGGTGGGTGTTTTTACAATCATTTCAAGGGTTAAACGATTTTCCTCGAACAAGAATATGGAAAAGAGTTGTTGATTGTCTAAAGGGTTAAGATAAGGTATCGATGTCAGGGCCAGATCGGGCTAAATATGACATACCATTGATGAGTAGAAATAGGGTATCCACATTAGGGTCGCGTCAGTCTTAATAGGGCATGGCGTGTCACAAAAGGATTCAGATATCATTAGTCTTAATTGTATGTACTGTAAAAGGATTCAGGTTGATTACCGCATCAGGGCCAGATCTGACTCAACAGTTTATATTGTAAAAGGATTCAGGTTGATTATCGATGTCAGGGTGAGATCAGGCTAAATAGGGCAGGTTGTATAAAAACCAAAACAGGATATCCACATTAATGCTAGATCAAACTTGATAGGGCATAACGCGTCACAAAAGGATTCAGATAGGGTATCCACATCAGGACCTCATCGGCCTTAATTGTGTATGCTGTAAAAGGATTCAGGTTGATTATCGATGTCAGGGTGAGATCAGGCTAAATAGGGCAGGTTGTATAAAAACCAAAACAGGATATCCACATTAATGCTAGATCAAACTTGATAGGGCATAACGCGTCACAAAAGGATTCAGATAGGGTATCCACATCAGGACCTCATCGGCCTTAATTGTGTATGCCGTAAAAGGATTCAGGTTGTTCATCCATATCAGAGATAAAAATCAGGCTTAACAATGTTTGGCGTAAAATGATTCAGGTTGATTATCCATATCAGGGCCAGATTAGGCTTAACAGTGTATACTATCAGGGCCAGATCAGACTTAACAGTGTATACTGTAAAAGAATTGAAATTGATTATCCATATCAGTGCTAGATCAGGCTTAACAGTGTATCTATAGTGTAAAAGGGATTCAGGTTGTATATCCATATCAGGGCCAGATCAGGTATGAGGTAAAAGGATTCAGGTTCAGTATAAACATCAAGGTCAGATTAGGCTAAATGTGGCATATCGTCAGAAAATTGAATTAGGATATCCATATCAGGGCCTAATCAATCTTAATAAGGCATGGCGTAAAAGGACTGAAATAGGGTATCATAGGACATGCCCTTCTATATACGGATTCGACTGCCCTATTAAATTTTCAGTCGGGTTCAATTATATTACAACTCGATTTTTACTCTCTCAATACACCTATATGTAGTTTTTCAGTCCGATTGCTTGTTTTAATGGAACAAAACGTACATTATCGATTGTGATAAAGTTTACTTTGATATGAGACAGTGCCTACTTTTATGCGTGTTTAGTTTAATCCGTATTTGCAGATGAAATTGTTTACCCCGTGTAATAATAAACAAAAATTAACACCCGCTAGTATCGCATGGTATATTTCATTTACCTAGTATTTACATCAAACTATTACAACACACGTTCTGTTTCGTCATCGCCCAGCATAATACTAAAATATTGCTACATATTATCAGTTAACCCGATAGGCGTTTTATAGAATATGGACGGACGTTTGGCTAAATTTATTGTTAATGGTGAGAGTGAACAGCGGCGAAATGCAGTTTCACACAATAAACTGACCGCATGTATACGTTATAGTGAAATTAATCGAAAATTTACATTTACATCACAAAATACGACCGTTACAAACGAAAATCTCACTAAATAAACTATTACAAAAGAAAACGCAAACTTCAAGGGCTCTACACACCTGAATTTGATTACTTATTGATAACTATGACCATAAATAACTCATTTTAATCATTGCCTTTTTATTTAATTAACTATTTACAATATTAGAATAAAATACGAAATAACATAGGTATATCTATGGGGTATAATAATTCAGTTTTCATAATGCAAATATATATGAAGTGTTACATTTCGGCTAGTAAAATTTTTAAATTCCGAATATGAATTATGAAAATTGAGTTTGATCCAAACGGAAGTTAGAAACAGGCACATAATATTTTGTTAAACTGGAAATTTTAAATGAGAAAAGATACCTAGTATACAAATTTTAATTTCGGGTCCATCGCGAACACAAAAAAATAAATTTACGGGCGCGTTTTTTATTTCTGAATCAATTAATTACTTCTGCCACTTTTACATTTCATACGATACCTAATAATTTAAATAATTTTTGACATTTGTGAAAAATAAAAATAACTAAATTAATAACATCGATTATAGATTGGATGTGTATACCTGACGTGGTACTGAGGAGGTGGTTATTTTTGGTCCAGTTTCCGAAGTGGAAATTCGTATTGAAATACATTTCCATATAATAAGTCGAGTGTGTTTGACATAAAGTTCTTATCACATCTCTCAACTGCTGCATATTTGTTCGAATAAAATGAATGTTATTATCTGATAAGGATCAGTCGAACGAAACGTTAGAAAGGAAGATGACATTTGCTTTCTATTAATATCAATTTTTTTATATCAGCAGAACTTCTTTTGCAATCATTTAGTTAATTTAATATGTCACCACGTTCACAATAATATGTACATTTTACCTATTTGCACATGCAATGTTTAGAAACATCCTTCGTACTTTCTGTTAGTCCTTTGTTTATTTTGCCACTAGGTACAATGGCATACTTCGATTACTTTACGAAAATCGTTAGAAAAATAGTAATTGCAATCCTTTAGTTGGTCGTAGATTGTTGAAAGTTCAAATCTGGTCCTTTATGTCGTAGTCCTTGATCCTCGAAATATTGGTAGATACAGTTGGGGTTTTCTTTTCTAGCTTTGACGTAAATACAAAGAAAAGTGGAAGCTAAATTTTTAATTATTTTAAAACTATCAATGGTCTACGTTTTATAAATTCAGTAACATGTTTATGACAATTATGTTTTCATTTTAATTTGTCAGCCGTGTTTTATTTAATTTGATTATATTTTGTAGGAAGCATGGTACTAAAACGTATTGCATGAATTTTTTATTCTTAAGAGGGCTGAGATTGACATTATTCTTTAAAATTTTATTACCTTTTTCACCCACGGATTCCTAAATAATATAATATTAAATGGTGTTATAGTTTTCTATAAATTTCTCTTATTCCCCGATTAATGTTTATTTGTAAAACAAAATTGAATAAAACTGTGTTAACATTTATTAAAAAAATGCATTAGATGCAGATAAATAATTACATTTTCTAATATTTCCTATAATGAAGTATAATTTCCCTTTATCAATTGATTGCGATCGTTTTGTTTCACTTTTATGTATCGCACAGGTAGCTTGGATCAAAGCGGATACAAAAGCAATTCTGGCGATCCACGAACATGTCATAACCAATAATGCACGTCTGTCAGTAACACATAATGATTATAACACTTGGACTTTAAATATAAAGAATGTTAAACGAGAAGATAGAGGACAGTACATGTGTCAAGTTAATACCGATCCAATGAAAATGCAGGTAAGTGATCGACAATGTTATCATAGTCAGAATTATTATAAGAAAGTAGACATGTACAGCTTCAAACCCTCTTCAGATTTTGTGGTGGTGGACTCTTTCAGAAATGTAATTGCAGCATAGTTACTTGACATCATCTCCAGACCATTATCTTTTTGTTCTTTAATAAAATTGTATAAGCTGCGGACATACTACAAAGCGTTGGTTATTTTTTAAAATGGTTGAAATACATTTTCATTCTATCGAAAAACTCAATGTAGATGAAGTTTGCAGTAGTGTATATTGAATTGAATTGTTATACACACAATTTCTTTCTATCTCTTATCGTGTTATGTGTTGTGAATAAAATTGAGTAAATAATTACAGTTGAATGGGTAGCGTAATGTATACAACCAAATAAAAAAAGCATTAGGAAGTCGCCTAAAGGAAATTTTATTTTACGAATGAAAAACACGTATTCTTAAGGAAAATCAATAGAAATTGTGAAGACGCGAACGGAATATTTTGCTCAGATTTTATGCAATTTTGGTTATTTTATACTTTAAGGAAAATAAATTATTTTAAGTAAGTTTGCAAATTATTTTTTAAACGCACAAAACCGAGTTAGATTTTTTAATAAAATTCGTAAGATATTTCTTTACTGCAAAAATTTATTTAATTCTGCCATCTGCGACACTTAAGGCGCTTATGAAATCCTGCGGACATCGAATAACTGCCCGTAGGTTCATTACTTCAGCTGCTTGACTTTTCAACCGCTACTTCTTGGCCTTCTTTCGAAGGTAATTGAAGATAACTACAAAAAGAAAAATTGAACCCCAAGTAACTCAGACGTGAACGATTTCAGAAGTCGATTATTTACCCACGAGAAATATACATTTCCTGAAAAATCTTTAGTTTTTTAATTACCCATGTAGGAAGTCATGACAGCATCAAGTATGGTCCAAGATTTTCCAATATTGGACCAAGCATTGCAAAGTATGGTCTAAGTCTGCCAGGCAAGCTGGATTCACGATTGGGCAGCCAATGCCACTACCAATGAACAACATTTATTACACTTGTTTTCAATGTTTAATACATTCTCTAAAACACTAAGGTTCCGAACTTTGGTACCTGAAGATTGGCTGAACATTGGTCCATTTTTGTCAAACTAGACTCGGCTGCTCAATATTGCACCAAACTTGTCGAGCCATTAATGTACTGAACGTTGGAACTTGAAGATTATTATACTTGACTGCCTTGCACTTGACCAAACTTGGCGAAACATTAATCAAACTTGGCAAAACGTTAATGTACCGAACGTTGGCAATTGAAGATTGGCCGAACATTGGTCCAGTATTGATAAGCCTATACGTAGCTTCCTAGTACTGAATCAAACTTGGCGTAACGTTAATGTACCGAACATTGACACTTGAAGATTGGCCGAACATTGGTCCAATGCTGATAAACTTATACTTGGTTGTTCTGCACTGAATCAAAGTTGGTTAAACATTAATGTTTTGAACAAAAGTTGGTAAAACATTAATGTACTGAACCTTGGCACTAGAAAATTGAACGTACGTTAGTCCAGTATTGATAAGTTTATCCCTAGTTGCCCAGTATTGGACCAAACTTGGCGAAATGTTAACGTACCGAACTTTGGCACTTGAAGATTACCGCACTCTGGTCCAGTATTGACAAATTTATCTTTGGAATTTGTACTTGGCTGCTCTGCACTGGACCAAACTTGGTGAAATTTTATGTACTGAACCTTGGCACTAGAAGATTGATAGAACTTTGGTCTAATATCTAAAAGCCAATGTTTGGTCCAGGTTTGAGCCTATTGTCAACGCCGATATTTCCTACATGGGTACATAAATTTCGACAAGTAAATAAGCCGTAAGTATTCTTTTCAGACGGCATTTTTGGAGGTGGTAATTCCTCCTGATATTATAAATGAAGAAACGTCTGGCGATGTGATGGTTCCTGAAGGAGGATCGGCGAAGTTGGTGTGCAAAGCAAGGGGTCATCCTCAACCGAGTATTACGTGGAAAAGGGAAGATGGAGGAGAAATTATCGCCAGAGAAGGGCCCAATGGAAGAACCAAGCTTTATTATGTCGAAGGTGAAGTGTTGACTCTGACAAAAGTTACAAGATCAGAAATGGGCGCGTACCTTTGTATTGCAGCTAATGGTGTACCTCCGACAGTGAGCAAACGGATGATGCTTCATGTACATTGTAAGCAAAAAAGGATTTTGTTATTTATGAAAACGAGGACGTACTATTTTAAATTCCTTTCAGAAAAGCGTCAGGGCAAAACAATTCGCTGATAGGTGATAGGTGCCAACATAAATATATACCTATGTTCGTTTCCGTTTCCAATTTTATTCATTTGCGTCTGTGAAGGATCGGTTTTGTCCTGGCGTAAGACAGCGAGCGAGTCCGCCCAGTCCAAATTGTGAAGTAACTTTTAAAACAATTTCAATTTCCCTTTTTTAAAACGGCAAAGTCAGTCAATCATTTTGGTCTACTTGCCCTTATCAGAGCCCCGTACGCCAAGCGAACTCTGAATAATTTGATCATGCTTCAAACTTTTATCGCTACTTCGCTTTCTTCCTTGGTCATGGACTCGACCATCGAATATCTGTCACTGAAATTGATACCAATTTTTCAGAATAGTTAAGACACATTCGAAATATTAATAGTAGGTATACTTTGCACAAATATATTATTCGTTGATTATCACAATCATTTTACCATACACTTCAATTTATACATTACTCCTTGGTAAACTATTAATTTGTTTATCATTTAATTCGTTTTTAATTAATTACCTTGTAATATATAGTAATTACTGGGCATTTTGTATATATAAACTGATGCAACAAAGTTAATTTTGTTATTTAATATTATTAACTATAAATTGCGGAATGAAAATACAATTGTGCTGTTAATTGGTAAATATACTACACTTGAAAGGTGTACAAAAGTTTGGTAGATATATTTTCTCTTCCAGTTCATCCTCTTATTCAAGTTCCAAATCAATTGGTGGGCGCTCCAACAAATACAGATGTAACACTTCAATGCCATGTTGAAGCTTCACCGAAAGCTATCAACTACTGGACCAGGGAGAATGGTAGGTATGCATAATTTATAGCCCCTAATAGTTTCAGCACCCTTCGATCGGATATTGCACGCAGCCATGAATTATTTCAATTTCACGGGCTTCGCGGAAAGGAAAACTGATTGTTATGATAACAGATTACTAACATTAGCTGTTTTACTTGATTCAATATTTCCTATTGATTAATATTGATTTATATTCATACACATATACACATTTTGTGTAAGTTCGTGTGGAGATTATTACATACAAAATATACAAAAAAACTTTTATGATTCGGAGTGTTGGGGATAATGTTGTAATTGGAATTACTTAACAAAAATTTGTAATAAAATATTCTTCTTTCAATCTATATAACTACTTTAGAGCTCTTGGAAGATTTTATTAATATTATTTGTACAATTAAATAATATAGATCAAATTTATAATAAAAAAAGTAAATGTGTAGGGTAATAGGAGCCATTAGTTATTTCAGACATTAGAACTTAATTCTTTAAAATTTGTAACTAATGGAGTTAACAATATTCGGAAATTATATATAGGTAGAATTAAAACTGAAACTCGTCGAAATTTACGGAGTTGTAATTTTTTGAAATTGTCCAAGGTGTGGTCAATTTAATGTTCCTTTTTCATTTCCGCACAGGAGAGATGATCATCTCAAACGATAAATATTCGATGTCTGAAATCAATGTATCGTCATACAGCATGCAGATAAAGCTAGTAATTCACCGTTTCCAAAAGTCCGACTTAGGAGGCTATAAATGCATTTCAAAGAATTCGATTGGAGATGCTGAAGGGAGCATACGTCTCTATGGTAAGCTCTCCTAAAATTGCTTTCTGATTTACTACTTTCAAACTTTAATGGTGACGGATGTACTGTAGGAATTCCAGCGACCTAAATTAAATTAAACCTCTTCCGAACAACTTCACGAATATCTTTTTTTATTGGCCATGGTGTTTTATAAAAAATTTGTCCAAAATAAATTTTTCAATGACAGTTGTCTTGTACATGGTAAACTTGAACAAAAAGCTTCAAGTTCAGCTAGTGTAAGATTTGTAAAAGTTTCTGGAACTGGCTTTATCGTTTTTATATTAAGCTGAGTTATAGTAAGTCATTTAAAAAGCAAGTTTAACGCTCATATTACACTACCAAAATAGTCAAAACAGAAAAACAAGATATTTGAAATTTACAGATGATTTAATTTTATTGTTATACATAATCTTTCGAGACACAAAAGTTACCTGCAATTTAGAGAGAAGGTGGTTGTCACTGGGAGTTAGATCAGACGATTATAGTGGATGTTCAAAAGACTGCCACTTAAATGTTTACAATCTTTGTGCGTTTCACCGTGCAAACAGTTAAATTTCAATTGATTCGTCTTGACCACAAACGAACACAGGTGTTAGCGAAGCATCGGGAAACTTGAAACTTACTTTTTAAACTACCCCCGTATTAATATTGTTCGTATTTTAATTTTGGGACTCGGGCATGCGAATTGTGTTGCAGAGTTGGAGGCATTCAATAAAGTTGAGACAGGGGACATGAGTGTAATGGAGAAAAGCTCAGAGAATGATATTGAAGGAAGGGAGTCGTCTGAAAGTCATATAAACCATGGGTTCCAGGGCTTGCTAACGGAATCGAGTGACAGCAGTATACGGCCTGAGGGTAACGAGGCTCCAAAAGGAAGTTTAGGGGTAATTGCTATGTTCTGGTGCAGTCAGCTGTTTCTGCTGCTTTTCTTTCTCTGACAAAATCTAGTGTATGTGAACAAATGGGAGTGATATGTGCCAAATTACCTGTGCTTCGCTACTCAACAAATGTGTTCGGAGTGAAGACGGCTCTGTAACATAAATTAATGTATAGGCTTTGATGTTGTTGCATTAGAAATCGGCATCACTATATATATATATATATATATACGTACATATATATTAATTGAAATAATCATAATTTATCGTTACCTTTACCTTCATTATTTTTTTATTGTTCTGTCATATATTTTTTTTTGATTTTTGGAATTTTAATTAACGTTACTACTCAAACATGTTGGCTCTATTAAAATTTTTATAAATTATTTTCTATTGTAACGATAATAAAAAAAAAAAAAACATCAGCCTTTATTGTTATCAAATGCCTTTTTTGTAGTATTTAGTATATCTTTTTGAGCAGCGAGCAGGCATAGGCACACGATAACTTCTCAGGTAAGTGACAATTATTGATAATTAATTGAAATCGTCACAACGTTTCTTATTTGTACTTGTAAATTACCGCTTTATCGTAAGTCCGAAGAAGATTAATTCAGCTTTTTGTATATGTATGACTTGCAAATTTTTCTCGAGCAAATTTGTTTGCGAATTTTAAAAGCAAATTTTGCCGAATTTTTATGGGCGAGCAGCAGTTAGGATAAACATTGCTACGAATATTTAAGGTAGGTACTAAACAAATAGAAATGTTTGAAGGAAGGTAATTTTTATTATTCAGTTTAATAATTTTCCAAAACTTTTACAATTTCTTCGAAAATAATGACTTGATTACAGGCGTAAATTGAAGTTATTATTCAAATATTACGTTTAATTAAGTTATCGACAAGAATTTGTAAACGGTGTTCCATGTATTCTAAGATATTTTTCCTTGTCGAGTGTCTGGTGTAACTACCCGTTCATCACAATCCCATTCCACATTTACTCCATCTATCCAATCGTCCCCTCCTTGCCTGCGTCCGCTATGTCTACTCTATCCCATGATTCGGACATTGATAAACCGTTTTTCGCATATACATATGTGTGAGAAAATACGCTGGCTGGTTCTGCACGCGTGCCGTGATAGAAAGCTGTAAAACATTTAAAGGATTTTACGTGATATTAGTCTGCAAACCCTTCGCTATTTCCATTGAAGCATTTCCACTCCTTCCACAACTTATATACGTACTAATAAATCTCTAGCTGATACTTCTGCTTCAATTCGTTCGCTGTTCTCTTTACTCATGATCTCCACGGTCCATTTTCATTACACACAATGGAATTTTGCTCAAAGTATTAAAATACCGTCACATTTTCATGCAATCAAATATATGTATATGTATATATATCGATGCTGTGTTTTCTTTCGGGCTTTTTGGCCGTGGTCCGTGGAATCTTGCTTTTCCAGACGTTTCGCCGTTCTTTGAGACGGCATCTTCAGTGACCATCAGTTACGACTCAACACCTGCCGAGTCACCACGGCCAAAAAGCCCGGAAGAAAACAGCATCGATAGACGCCGGCCGTGAAAGCCTAAGAACTACAAAAAAATATATATATTTTATATACTTATAAGTCGATATACTTATTAGATTTTTAATTATTGTTAAACCGGAACGTGACCCCGTCGTCTGCATCTATTTGGCGTGTAATTACAGAACGTGTATTATTCGAGTAGGCAAGTGCAAGTGCAGTATAAACTAATTTTTGTCCACTTATCCTGGGTTTAATAAAGCGCCTTCCGAGCTATTGCAATTCGCGGAGCCTTTACTGCTTTAAATTCTTTATGATTTCGATCTACTTATTAACAAACTCCGCTAAAGCAACGGTTGAGAAACTTCTGAAGTCTTGTTTTTGAATTTAATAAACATTATCCGCATTCCAGCCATAGCTTCTGTCAGCGAGTCCTAGCAAGCCTTATAGCTAAATAAACGTGTGAGACTTTACATCTTACTAAGAATATCGTTTATCTTTTTATTGTACTTATACTCCTAGGTGATATTCCATTCCATTCCATTCCATCTAGAGCAAGAATTCTTGCTATTTACCTGTGTTATTTCTTACAGTCACTTACTTTACAATTGATGCATTTTCAACCCCTGTTCTAGAACATTCCGTTAAATAACGTTAAATATCAGTTACCTATCGCTAGTTCACTTTTCATTTCATATGTACATACGTTTTTCATTAATTTGTCTTCAATATACCGCTACACTTTTATTACCACTTTTATTGTCTCGAAATTGATTTCTAAGCCTGCAGAAAATGAACATAAAGTTTTGGCCATGTGACCGATAAAAACACTATTAGGCCAAGTTACATGTAACATGGTAAATACACATTTTCCTATTCGACAAATATTAATTATAAATTTCGATATTAACGACCAATAGCCGGGTCCCCATTGCTGTTCGGAAACACTAAAGTGCAGTGAAAATGACACAGCTATAGCGGTTCAATTTTTTTTACAAGGAATTCGCTGTTACGTCGGAAATTTAATATGAGTGTGTGGAACGTGGAACTAAATGTATGAGAAACCCTGGTTTAGACATATTAAAATTATAATCATTTGGACACAGAATGTAGGATTCGTTCTTTTAGTAAAGTATGTTACTAGTAGGAAGTTTGTAAAACAAATAGCGCGGCTTAGAGCCGGAAGCTGAAGTAGCGTTTTGTTTGGTAAACTTTGTTTTAATAACTTTGAAGAAATTTAAATTTGTTGTAGAAAGAGCAGTTGTCGTTAAGTTGTAAGGAGCTTCCGCTATGTCAGCACAACAATTTGGCGGATCATTGGCTTGAATAACAAGATGTACTAGTTGCTCCTCTTATAAAACACGATGTTTCTTAAATCTGATTGCTCTTCAAATTAAGATTACCTTAATCTTTTAAATATCAATTTCACCTGCTTACGGCTCATTAAATTTCAATTTTACAGCTATTGTCCCATCTGGGTTACAGCCCAGGGACGTTACATTTCGATTCGTTGCACGACTACAAATTCCATGAATTTCTCCCAAGCTATTATCCATTCAACCTGAACATGTATTCTTCACCCTTCTCACTACTACTTCTATTCTTATAAAACAACAACACCCTACACTGATATGAGATTATCTAAAAACCAATAACCTCGTACACACGTAACGAGTTTCTGTAATCTAATTTAGTCCTTCGCATAAACACCCGATAAATATAGTAAAAACTGAAATTAAATTGAACTGAATTACTATATTGTGTTGTACTCGCACTCGGATAGTATCTATTAATACCATGAGATTCTACGTACTAACATTGTTACATAATTATCACCTCTCAAAGTTTACTAAATACCTTTCGTCTCTCAGTAACTTCACGAGCGTCTTTTTATGTTTTAATTATATTCTTATATATTTGAAACAGTACTAGAAATGTAAACATAAAAAAACGCCGGTGAAATTATCATGAGATGTAAGTATTTACCTAGCATTACGCAGAATTTCATAGGGTTAACGGTTTTCAAGTGCGGTGTCATACAGTAGGAGCCGGAAGGTATTTATTAGGCACTGAGAAATGATAATTGTGTACAAAAGTACATAAAAACTCATGGTGCTAATGGTTTTCGAGTGCTGTGTCAAATAAGTACATATCGGCGTTATTGTTCATAAATCTGTATAATAACTTAAACATAAAAAAGCGCTCGTAAAATTATTAGGAAAAGGAAGGCATTTATAAGAGATCGAGATGTGATAATTTTGTAAAAAAGTACGTAGAATCTCATGGTACTAACGGTTTTCGAATGCGGTGACAAATAAGTACTTTTCGGTATTATTGTTTTAAAATATACGAAATAGCTTAAAAATAAAACAGCGCCAGTGAAATATTTGGGATGTGGAAGGTATTTACTAACCCTCAGGTGAAACCACGTATGCGGTTATTGCTTTGTTTTAATTAGTAATCTCTTTGAATAATCCTGTTGAATCATACTTACCTCAATTATAACCAAATTGTGTGGTATCTGCGATTATTAATATTAACAAGTAGTAATGTAATTATAACCAGTTTTGTATCACCTATTATTTAATAAAAGACATTATGAACATTTTATTTGATATTTTGAATCATTAGCACTTGTTCTAACGCTGTGATCTCTCTCTTTTCAAATTTTTAGAGAACTTCCTATTTTACCATGGATCTTCAATTAAAAGAAGTTACATCCCAAATATTTACTTTCATACAATCATACTAACTATGCATTAATTCTTATTTCAACTTAGTAACTCTTTATGGTTTTTTATTCTTTGATTAGTTTGTCAAGTTAAGTATTCTCATTTAGGTAATTTTGAATACATCAATCAAAATCTCCTCAGGCGATATTTAGTAGTTAGTAGTAAAACCTATAGTAAGTTTTTCTAAAACATTACAGGGATATGTGACCTCTGTATTAAATTCTTATATAGTATCAACATTCTGTAAAAATTTACAGGGACATGTAATCTGTCTATAATCCTACTATATAGTATCCTCCTTCATTCTGTTTCTGTGGCGACCCATAGCGGTTGGTAGCAAAAGCTATTACAAATTCCTGTAAACCTGTACAGGGATATGTAATCTCTCTATTACCTTCTTATTTAATAGGTTCCTCATTCATAACGATTCATTACGACCTCTAGCGGTTGGTAGCAAAAGCTATTACAACATTCAAGGTTACATGAACCTGTAACGAAGTACGAATTAACTTATAGATTTCTATGAAGCAGTCGTTCATCGTCACAGACTTCTGTAATTCATACTGGTATATTAATCTGTCGTTCAGGGTCACAGATTTCTGTAATTCTTACAAGTATATTAATCCGTCGTTCAAATTCATAGATTTCTGTAATTCATACTGGTGTATGAATCTGTCGTTCAAGGTCACAGATTTCTGTAATTCATACTGGTATATGAATCTTTCGTTCGAGGTCACAGATTTCTGTAAACTTAACATTTATGCATTCATACTGGTATATGAATCTTTCATTCAAGGTTACACAAATTTCAAAATGTAGTATAGTAATATCTTGGAATTAACTCTGAACTCTGGTGGCGCCATCTATGATTGGGTAGCTAAAGTATGGTTTTTGGTTTACAGATTCCTGTAGCCTCTTTATTTAAGATTCTTTCTTTCTTTCTTTCTTTATTTAAGATTCTTTATTTAAGATTCTTTCTTTCTTTATTTAAGATTCTTTATTTAAGATTCTTTCTTTCTTTATTTAAGATTCTTTATTTAAAGGTTTTAAGCTTGTAGGGCTGGATAAATGGGTTAGAAGGGGGCCCCCTTGAAGCCCGCCCCCTAACCCAATATACCGGACTTGAGCTCCATAAATATTGGTTTACCAATCACCTGCAAATGCTACGGTGCTGCCACCCATCATGAAACCCCAAAACCCAAAATTATTGTTATTATTATCGCTATTATCTTTAGTTTTGAGGTTTCATGCCAGGTGGCAGCGCCAAAAATTACGCGAAATTACGCGAAATTACACGAAATTACAGGAATCTGTAATTTGGCGTGTCGGTCGTGGGGACGTGGTAGGAACTTATATTTATATTAATATTACTAATTACAGAAGAAAAAAAGCGTATGTTTATTTACATCAATGTTTTGCGAAATTACAAAGGTTACCGTAATAAAAATAATAACACGTCCCTACTTTTAATAATACTTAAAATCTATCTATAATTATATTACTCTACGACTTATACTAAGTTAGTAATACAGTTACTTTATTAAATATACAAATATCTTAAACTAATTATTACGAACTACTTACATTATCTAAAATTATATTACTCTAATTCTTATACTAAGTAAGCAACAAGATTACCTCAATTTTATTAAATACACAAATATCTTAAACTAATTACTACTAACTACTTAATCTATCTAAAATTAAATTACTTTAAGACTTATACTAAGTTAGTAAACAGATTAATCTTATTAAATAAATACACAAATATCTTAAACTAATGCTTAGTGTTAATTTTCAATACAACAAACTAAATGAATTTAACTAATTAAATCTTTAAATACAAAAATTATTCATTATATNAGATTCTACGTATCTTTTTACGTAATTGTCGCTTCTCTGAACTAAGTAAATGCCTTCCATCTCCGAATAATCTTACGAGCGCTTTTCTACCTCTTTTAATCATTTTATATATATTAGCAAAAAGAATGCCGGAAAGTATTTATTGGACGCCGCACTGGAAAACCGTTGGCACCATGAGATTCTACGTATCTTTTTACGTAATTGTCGCTTCTCTGAACTAAGTAAATGCCTTCCATCTCCGAATAATCTTACGAGCGCTTTTCTACCTCTTTTAATCATTTTATATATATTAGCAAAAAGAATGCCGGAAAGTATTTATTGGACGCCGCACTGGAAAACCGTTGGCACCATGAGATTCTACGTATCTTTTTACGTAATTGTCGCTTCTCTGAACTAAGTAAATGCCTTCCATCTCCGAATAATCTTACGAGCGCTTTTCTACCTCTTTTAATCATTTTATATATATTAGCAAAAAGAATGTCGGAATGTATTTATTGGGCATCGCACTGAAATACCGTCGACACCATGAGATTCTGCGTATCCTTTTACACAGTTGTCGCTTCTCTAAACTAAGTAAATACCTTTCATCTTCGAATAATTTCACGAGCGCTTTTCTACATTTTAATCATTTTATATATATTAGCAAAAAGAATGTCGGAATGTATTTATTGGGCATCGCACTGAAATACCGTCGACACCATGAGATTCTGCGTATCCTTTTACACAATTGTCGCTTCTCTAAACTAAGTAAATACCTTTCATCTTCGAATAATTTCACGAGCGCTTTTCTACTTTTTGATCATTTTATATGCATTAGCAAAAAGAATGTCGGAAAGTATTTATTGGACATCGCACTAGAATACCGTCGACACCATGAGATTCTGCGTATCCTTTTACACAATTGTCGCTTCTCTGAACTAAGTAAATACCTTTCATCTCTGAACAATTTCACGAGCGCTTTTCTACTTTTTGATCATTTTATATGCATTAGCAAAACGAATGCCGGAAAGTATTTATTGGACATCGCACTGGAATACCGTCGACACCATGAGATTCTACGTATCTTTTTACACAATTGTCGCTTCTCTAAACTAAGTAAATACCTTTTATCTCCGAACAATTTTACGAGCGCTTTTGTACTTTTTAATCATTTTGTATATATTAGCAAAAAGAATGCCGGAAAGTATTTATTGGGCATCGCACTGAAATACCGTCGAGACCATGAGATTCCACGTATCTTTTTACACAATTATCGCTTCTCTGAACTAAGTAAATACCTTTCATCTCTGAACAATTTCACGAGCGCTTTTCTACTTTTTGATCATTTTATATGCATTAGCAAAAAGAATGCCGGAAAGTATTTATTGGTCATCGCACTGGAAAACCTTTGGCACCATGAGATTCTACGTATCTTTTTACGTAATTGTCGCTTCTCTGAACTAAGTAAATGCCTTCCATCTCCGAATAATCTTACGAGCGCTTTTCTATGTTTAAGCCGTTTTATACATTTTAATGTCGGAAAAAACCAGTTTAACACTGTACTNTTAAAAAGAACCAAAGGTTTCTCATCTTGTGAAGTCAGACCGGGTACTTAATAAAATATAAAAATCAAAAATTCAACTTATCTTTTTTATGCTGCGATGTCCTGAATATTGTCCGGATTGTAAACAAGTCCTCCAATACTCAATCGTTTAACGGGTATGACATTGCGGTAGTTTTGGCTCATAAAATTTTTCCTGAAAAATACACAAGCAAGATATTGGAAATTATGCGGTTTTTGATCACTTAGTTAAACAAGTTAACAATAGGATAAGGATACTAAAACAGTTTGTATAATAACCAAAACAATATCGTCAATACAAACTGTAAAACTTATATACCAAGTGTTTTAACATCCTTATCCTAAAATTGTAAATTTTATAAATCGTCACTGTAATGTTATTATACAGAAAAGAAAATCAAAATTGCTTTTCTATTTGTAATGAAAAGCTTAGTAAATAACTAAACAGTTCAGTAATTTCATTAAAATATATTTTGAATTGTATTTCATTAGATTAAAGCATATTGATTCAAATAAAATTTAATAAGTCTGTAAAACAATAAAAAAAAAAACAAGTTGAAGTTGGTAAATAAAAGATAAATCAAAGAATAACATTTATGTTACTGTGAACCACATAAATGAAAATGACTGGAGGGGAGCAATCTTACCTCAAATTGTAAAAGCTGCATGAAAAACTATATTACTAACAAAAATCATTTTTTCTTTTTAAAGAGAACGAAGTAAACAATTTATTAGTGTTTACGAAGAGCTTGTAAAACGTAAGCTTTGACCAAATCTGGATAAGAACAGTGGAGAGATGACCTAGTTTCATTATCTCTTTAATAACACAGCACATGCGTCCTTGCTAAAGGAACGAATTGTATACGAGGGACATTTCAACGAAACAAATTAAAATTTTATCAATTTAATTTTAAGTTAATTCAAAATGTTACTTATTATGTTTCAAATTGAAAGTTACGTGAAATAAATATTAAGTCAAAAGAATATGATCTTAATTAGGACTTGTTGCAGTAATAGACATTTCTACATTTGGTATTATTTTCGGTAAAATTTTATTTTGTTACCATCGACAGCTTTTCTTATTTGTTAGTTTCTCTATTTTTGTTAATATTTGCATGCTATTAATTTACAGGGAGAGGTCATGCTTTTATGACGTAATATTTGTTAAGGGGTTACAGAAAACGTGACGAATTTTATGATGGGCCTTTTTCTGTCAAAAGAAGTTTTCCCGTTTACCACTTAAAATAAATAATTTTAAAATACTAATGTAGGCACATTAGTACAACAAATACGCTGTACAATTGTTACAAAATATTAAATGTATAGCTAAAAAATTTATAAAATGTNTATCCTTAGCGCGGTAATTTAAAATAAATGAACTGAAATAAGTATGTTATGGTAAAGAATGGTTGGCTTCGAGGATTAAATCCTAAATAAATTAAGACGTGTTAAGGATCAAGAGCAACGACAAACATTGCAACAGGATGACACACGGGAATAAAGTTAAGTCCCTCTCAAGGGATACATGCTTACCAGTTCCATCTCGGATCCAGTGGTTCATGGCTCTAGGCGAAGCTTCAACGTAACACTTATAAATATATTTTTGAACTTTATTGTCATGTGTTGCATTAAACACTTTGCTGATGGTGTGTATAGTCATACATCACATCAATTATTGTTATTATTATACATATAATTAACAAACAGTTTTGTAACAATTTAGTTACTTTTTCTACGTTTACTAAACTAAGCGACCCATATCCTGATTGTTTCCCTTAGGTAATTCATTCATAACTTCAATATTCGAATTACAACAGACTTGGTTTCAAAACCACATAAAAAAATAGCTAAGGAGTTACCACCTCTTTTTTTTTAATTTTTTTGCTTATATTCGACAATAAAATTAACGAACAATAAACTTATTACTGTTATTATCCGATGAATAATTTTATTTTATTTTGATAGGCGCGTAAAAAATGTATAATTACACTGATATACTTATCAAAAATTTTGACCTGTTAGTTTGCTCAGATTTAGAAAGTTTAGGTTATTATAATAATCAATTAATTTAGATATTCGAACTATTTGCAATGAGAACAAAACGGCACCTACCCTAATACCTGTAGCTATTTAATATAATTTTTTTATTGTATAATTTTCTACCCTTGTTTGTGCTTTTAGTGGTGTAACTCCTTTTAAAACAGACAGTTACAAGTAAATATAAAAAGGTTTCTTAATCAAGTCCATACAAAATATATTGATTACAGTGTTTCACTTTTTTTTAGAATATCTCATATATTATGTATGTACAACTATAAATGGAAACTGACCCACAGTATGAGACAAAACGTAGTGCCTTTTTAATGTCTGAAATTCATCTTATATTTCAACAACACGTCATGGTATGATAAATTCTAATTACAATTATTTATTAATAATTTGTAGAAGGTACTCTTTGGTAGGTAAATCATCTATTTTTAGATTACACTAATAGTTAATAGCGATTACCTTCTACTATATTAGACTACAATTTTAAAAATTACAACCCTGTAGGTATCGTGAGTTTACACACGAATGGAATAATTTTATTTATTAGACATTCGACTCATACTGTGGCATGGAGTTAGTAGTAATACATAAAGTCAGAATGCGTCAGAATTCTAGTAAAAATTATTCTTTTTCTTGTTTATTATTGTTAATTTAACTTCGGAAGACATAGGTTTTTATGTATAAAATGTTGTGTATGTTATTGTAACCTAGCATCGTTGTAAGATATACATAATACGTAGGTAAAAACTTTAATTCTTTTTTACGTAATTTAATTATTTACCGTAAACAGTTAGTGTAGATGATCTTAAGGAAGACACATAACAGTAGATGATATGCCGTTGGATGATAGATATGAAGTTTTTTTGTCGATGTAATGTAGCGGGTACTTTTTTTTTTTTTTGAAACAATCAATGGTAATAAAAGCACTAATAAGTTCGAGGTAAGGCAAGACTGAGTCCAGCCCAGTACATAATGGTTGGTCACGATTATTATATTATTGATAAAACGAGACAAACGAGGCAAGTTAAGGCATTAAAGCCATCCACATCGACTCAAATTCAATTTGGGGCAGACCGATGCACTTTGCTGCCAGTCGTAGACGTATTCGTATCGCCTTGCCTCGCCTCGAACGTGTTCGTGCTCGTGCTCAAGTGTGTATGCACCTTTACGTATTCATCATACTTTGACAAGAACGAATACAGCATGTCTTTAAAAAGTTACAGATTATGTAAATATTAGTAGACTTTACTTTCGAGTATTTTAGTTGTGCCTATGTAAAAAAATGTTTACTAGGTATATTAATACATCCAACAAATATAGTCTTTGTAAGTATTATAGTTACGTTAGTATGTACGATCAAGAAATATTAATTACATTAGAGCAAAATAAGCCTATGAAAAATTGTTTGGTTTGAGTTGGCCCGAGGGAGCTAATTGAAATAAACATTGTCATTTGGGAAATGGAAGTGGGGAAGCAATAGCAAAGGAAGACGTCGACAACGCACAAATGCAAAAGGTAACGACAGTTACTTCAATTGCTAACCAGTCTTGAGATTAGTAAACAGCAGATAAAAATAAAAATAGGTGCAATGCTTACAGGTGTTTTACAACCACAACTAGAGTGATGGACCCAAGTGGGTGTCTTTTTGGTGCTTGGGACTGGAAGAGCCTTCGGCGGAGCGAGAGTCCAAGAATAGGGGGGAAATGTGACGGTTGTAATCGCATAGTCGTCGCTGACGTTGTCTTCTTCCGAACCTTTCTTTGACTTCGACTTTTTCTTCGGTTTCTTCAGATTCTCCTTCACCACAGGTTTTCGCGGTTTCGTCATTTCCACGTGCTTTGGCGTGCTCTGAGTGGTGGTTGTCTTCACCAGAAGATGTAGTTCTAGTAACAACAAAAATTCACGTCTTATTTCTGTAAATCGTTGCAAATGGATATTTTTCTTTGCACATACCCTGTAGTCGCACAGTACCCTCACTTCTGCCAACAATATTTGTGGATGAACACATGTAATCGCCAAAATCTCGTTTCTCCAATGATTTTATTGTCAGATTCATAAAATAGGAATAGTCGCTCAAAGTTGTTTCTGTTATAATATATTTGTCGCTAGGCAGAAGCTTTTCTCCTAAAACAAAATAATCTAAAAGAACTTGTAATACCCGGTAAATACGAGGTTTATATAGAAAAACATTGCGCTACTATACAATTAATCAGGCTGACAAACTTTGTAAATAAATTGATCTAATTGATGACAGTATTTATTTAATTAGAAAATCATACAACTTTTCCTTTAAACTAATGACTTATAAAAACACAAAGAAAATCGAGACGAATGAAAACTATATTTTATGATTAATAAATGTTGATTAAATTACGTATAACTCAGTTAAAAAAGTTCTTACGTTAAAAAAGCTATAGCTCTTGCAATATTTGCAGGCCAGTAAGAAATATGAAAATAAAACAGAATATAAAATATAATTTCTGTTAGGTACTGTCTGATAAATCTTTTAAATTCAAATCCAACTTTGAATGAGTTAAAGTGTTAAATAAAGAAGATTACACATGCAGATTCAGTACAACTAGCAGCAGAAATTTTGTAGACGAAAGAGCTTTTCAGTGTTAAACGTGTTAAATGGATAAGCCACTGATTACATATTCGTGTTGGAATTGAGTCTGATACCTAAACAAACATGTTAATTCATGAGAGTTACATGGTTCCTTACAATTCAGGACATATATTCCGTCCAACTTCTACTAAATAATTCATTATTCTTTTTATGCGGCGAACAAATTTGAAATAGTCCAAACACTGCAAGAATTAGTTCAAAGGAGACAAGCATTTAACGTTTGAGCATTGTAACTTAATTATTTCGGTTGGCATAACATTTAGGACATTATCTTTGAGCCTGCCTTTGTAAGTATTTTATTGCTCAAGACGATAATTCAATTACTGCCTAAGATAAATTCAAAAAGTACAGTTACCGAAAGATGAAAGGGAATTAATGTCACAACGTAATTCTTTCATAGATATTTCAAGTAAAACATCTCAGTAACCACGAAATTAGTAATACGCAATAGATGCTATGTCGAATAATTGTCGAGTGTTACTAAGAATTAGAATCGTCGAATAGCAGAGGTAATACTGACTTCAAAAAAAAATTATTAGGGATAAAACCGAGTTCCAAAAGTTGCCGATTATGAACGTAATTTTGAGAACAAGATTTGTCGAGTATTACCTCTATTAATTGACGAAGATAATTATTTATTTCAACCGTTGGTTCATAAATCATAGAAAAATAAAGCCGGAAAGTATTTATTGGACGCCGCACTGGAAAACCGTTGGCACCATGAGATTCTACGTATCTTTTTACG